AAGGCTTACGTGGGTCGGAAGTTGAGAGCGATTCAAATTCCCAGAATTTACGGGGGCTTGATGGGATTCAACTTGTATCAGTGTACGGCGCAAACGAAGACAGTGTACTACGAGGCGATTCTGAGCTACACGATAACGGCGCTGATGTCAATCAATTTGGGAAATTAGCAGAATAAATACTTCACTCACAGTGGCGCAAAGAGCATATAGGCCAGGCAGGCAAAAACTAGGGGCCCCACGACGTCTGGGGCCCCCAGTGTTGGTAACTTAAAAAAATTATGTAGTTATTTTATTAATTAAAGAGATTCCTGATTAACGAATTTAATTGATTTTAAACTTTTGTTAATGTAAGTTCTACTCTATTTTTTCAAAATTAACATGTTTATGGTCAAAGTTTAAAATTGGACGGTTACAAAATACATATGCACAGTTTTAACAATAATTTTAAAAACTTTAATATTTGCCTCTGTAACCAAAATCTACATATTTTGTTTCGAATTTTGCGACGTGCAAAAAATTATTCCAAGTGCTAAAATCTTGCAAAACACATCAACTTAGAAATATTTCAGCCAATTTTTGGTAATTTTCCTAGGGGCCCCGAAAATAAAGTTAAGTTGTTCACTTATTAGGCTCTCGAATTTTGGGGGCATGTGTGCCTCGACCGGGTTTGGTAATCGAGATGATAAGTTAGACCAATTAAATTAGATGCTAAGTGATGCGTATGTTTTTGTAGTTCGTTTGTCAGAAATACAAATAATTATGTATTCGGCACAATTTTCAAATTATAAATAAATTTTTATGGTTCCTTAATAAATTCATTCGACTGTGTGTACCTTGCACCTATGGTGGAATAGTGCCTGTCAGCTCATTTTTATGTTTTGAGGCACTCGCGTGGAGTTTATTTATTAAAGAAAGCCCGTCACGCTGAAAATATTAATATTGAGTGAGACCTATGCACATGAGGCGACAAGCCTAATAAAGGCCCAGAACGTATATTTTTACTTATTTGCATACACCAGTGTATTTAATTCCTATCGATCCATTCACATAGTTTACATATCAATATATGTAAGTACCAACAAAATTATAGCAGCATGATTCCGTGCGAAATTGGAAATGCTATCTGTGAGAATTTCAGGTAACACGAAAAACACTTAATAACAACTCTAGATATATTCAATCCTTAATGATAAACCTATGGCGCGTATGTTTGATAGTTTAATCGAAAATCTAGCATAGTTTTAATTTCCTTAACATTTTTGTTATGGAAGCACTCCATATTTCAAGCACTAAGAACAATACACAAGCTGCAAAACAAATCCCACAAGCATATAAGCCTGCCAAAATTTTGGAATTATAGTCTAATTGTGATACCCTATCGAATCTTGGGTATGTCCAATTTGCATAGTGATGAAACAATTTGGGAGGTTTAACCAATCGAAACCAGGCCTTCCAGTGGAAATATATTCCAGACGATAGCATAAACTTGAGACGCTTCTCGGCATAATTTCCACGAACAGGAAATATTTGCCAGGCACGAATTACTCTGAAAAATGAGTCCTCTCCACTAAGATATTTTACGCGGTCTTTGTTATCGTTAAGGAATGGAAGTATCGAAGCAACATTTTCTTTAGTGTCGAGAAACGCTACCTTCGCGCAGGTCGACAATGTGTTCACCAGTCGATCAGTCTCATTATAATCGATTGATTTTAATGGAGATTGTTCCTGTGATAGTTTGTAGTACATTTGATTTTGTTGGGTGGCATGGGCGTCCAGGGTTGTCCCTTGTGCGTGTAGAGCGGGAATACTAAACTCGAATAGGGGTATCATATCTTTTAAACGTAGTGCCATTCGCTTATACGCTTGAGACACGTTATAGTTACCCGGATAGATTACCAAAGGGTCAACCCTTTGGACGACATGGTTGAGAAAACCTAAATAACGGAAGTTTCCAAAGTCGCCTACGGTGTGCAAACCAGTTTCGTCCAGAAGGTCGAATGGCATTAGGACTTGGGCCCCTTCAATATCGAGAAAGGTTTCCCAAGGTGGGTAATATTTAACTTGAACTATCATATCGATTGTGAATGAAGTCTTGTACCAGTTTGTCAACGTTGTTCCAGTCAATAAAATCCAAACCACAATGAGCAATCAAATCCCCTTGGTATAAGGCTTTCTTGGAAATCTCGACGGAAACAGGTTTCGTCCACCTAACACTGAATTCTCGAAACATATACCGGTTGCAACTAATATTCCGTATGAACTCATGTGACCTGACAGTATCGTCAACGTGGTAGCAAGAACTATGAAGCCCACCAATAGATAAATCCTTGTCGCTACATCAAACGGATCGGACAACGCACTAAAAATAAACGTATCTGGCTTGACCAAATAGCAAGAGATGAAACCATAGTTCCGAACGCTTTCAAAAATAGGTGTCGTAATGCTGAAGTGAACGGCAACGTTGTTAAGGACAGGAGTTAAGTGTCGAGCAGATACATTGTGGCAACGGTCAGTTATTAGCAAATGCGAAATAAATTCGTCAAACACTGTTGAATCAGCCATCTGTTTATGGACTTCTCGAGATTTTAGAGTATGACAAGTTATTGGTTTCCTTGATCGGTTTAAGCTAACGGCTTCTGTCATTTGCCAGAAGAACTTATTTAAATTGGCTGTAGCTTTTCCAATGCTTTCTAGTTTTTCAAAACAGTCAGCTCCATCATGAATTAAACATTCCAACCGATACCATGATTTCGAGGGGTTCCCATCGTCCAATATTATATTTGGGTCGTGATTTATATTGTAATACTCCAGTACAGTTCTTTAAGGATGAAATCTTTAAGGATGAAAGTTCTCCCTTAACTAATAGAAAGGTGCTAAATTATCCTCCAACCACATATGCTTCATATTTCGAATATTAGACAGCCCTCATTTCGCTATAAAACATCACATTGTCGAATAAACGGATTTGTTAAGTTCTTGAATTCGTAACTGAAACTATGAATGTATGTAATTATTTTAAAACCATTCAATTTATACCTTATCACAAGCAAACACTAAACTTTTTACATTGTTTAAGCTCATTGTTGAAACACGAATTAACCCAAACTTCCAGGATTTGTTGCGTCAATTTCACAAAACTTGAGTTTAATAGTAAGCTAAGGATAAGTTTCTGCATCTTGCCCTATCATTTGTGAAGACAAATTTACCAAAATATAGCAATTTGCAACAATATCTCAGCAAAAAATTTATGGTGAACAGACCATGAATTTTAAGCTGGCGTAAAACTTTTAACATGCTGCCCACGCAATTTTGCAACATTTTTTATACTGTTTCTTCTCATAAACAAGGGTCTATGAGCGAGCCAACACAGGACGAATTTGTGTTGTGAAAACTGTGCACAGTTGAAAAGTTTCCAACATGTAATACATGCATTATAGAAACGATATGTAACGTTTTCTTAAGCCTGGTTTCATTCATAACACGAATAATTGGGTAATACATACATATTTAAAAAACAAGGTAAAACTGTATAAGTAAGCTTTACTTTAGGATTATATAAAGGCATATTATCAAGTCTCAATATTTTGTTTAATGCGGACAATTATTTCAACCGAAAATGCAAATATCAGTACTTTTAAACAAAAAACATGAATTTGTAGTTCTGAAGTCTCAAGTAAAAGTTCGTAAGTCAATTTTCCTTGGAAATGTGAGTAAAAGTTCGTAAACTTACAAACGTTACGCAGGTTACAAATGTTGACGTGAGGTCCCCCATTTATTGGGGGAAAAATAATTCACCCTTAACAGATTAATCAAGATTAATCTCTCATGCACAACTTGATCTTTCGTACATACCTAAAAAATTTCCTTAACAATTGCTTCACATAGGGACCGTCCATACATTACGTCATCTTTTTGTGGGTGGGTGGTTTAGGTTTTCCTATCTTTCCCATGTGAAATTTCCTTATCTCTTAATGTTTACGTTGAGTGGGTGGGTGCTAAAATAGAGTATTTTTGATGACGTATTATATGTATGGCCCCATACATACTTACCTGTTCTTGCATATCATGCTACCTACATTCGCATTAATTCTTCAGCATTTCAGAGGCCTCTGCAGCATGGTCGTCACAAGATGGGGTCATCGTTCCCATGTAACATTTTTAAAACACAATATACAGGGTGGTTCACAGATAAATGTCACGCAAAAATGGACAATTTTGTAATGGGAAAAGTCCCTAAATCTCCATTAGTTACTGGGATTAAGATTTTTATAATTCTTACCAAAACTTATGACGAAATTCTTACAATGTTGAATTTTAGGGACAAACTTTCGGTAACTAATGGTAATTTAGAAATTTTCCCATCAAAAAATTTTCCATTGTAGCGTGACATTTTAACCACCATGTACATATGCATTTCACTTGTTTATTAAGTAAAGGGTGGATTATTTAAATGTCACGTACCATGGAAGGTTTTGCAAAAAGAAAAGCGCCTAAATCCTCATTTTGGATTGAGCTTTTTGTTAATTCTTATCAAACCTGGTGACAAAATTATTAAAATATTGAATTTTTATAGAGACAATATTTCCGTTACTATTGGAAATTTAAGAATTTTTCCCATTGACAAAATGTCCATTGTAGTGTAACATTTAAACCACCCTGTACATAAATACTCTGCAAAATGTTCTTGTGAAATTCTGCCCGCACGGCACCCAAATTTTTATGACCAACAGGCGTAACTCTGCACTTTTCGTTCCACTGATCGCTCATGTATTCATCCAGGCGTTACCTCGCTGGGGGACCGTGCATAAAGCATGGGTTTGGCTTTTTCTCGGACATGAAATTAAGAAATGCACCGTCAAATGTTTCTAACTTGGGGTAAGAATCACGCAAAAATTATCACGTCCTTTCCGCACTGTCCTAAACCTATTTGAGGATTCAACAAGTGTGAAATTATTACACTACCTTTAGCACATCGCATGGCTTTTTTGTGCTTTCCTCGTACATCTGGTTATTAAATAAATAACCTCGACAGAGTGAATTCATTCAATTTTTAATTAAATACGAGCACAAGTTTTCTTTAGACATATTTAAAATGTGAATTATTCAATATAATAAATTGTGCTCTAAACGTCTCCATGGAGACAAGATGAAGTTCAATGTGGGTAAGATTTCTAAAACCGAGGGTTATATCGTTATCTTAATTACAAGTTTTCCTCATTGCAATGTATACACTTTTTTATTTAGAGACTTATCATCTCTGGCTGAATTCGCACAAATGGAAATCATTCAGCACAGTAGTCCCGTCAAGTCAGACAATTTATATTAATGGAAATCTAAACAAATCAAAATTAAATTCGAAAGTTAAAGGTACGCACAAATTTTGAGGGTATAAAAAAACATTTGTTTAGCTTGGAAATATAAATAAATTTTCAGATTTTTGACCAAATTTATTTTAATTTGCAGGATTTGACAGTAAAATCTGAAATCAAAATTTTACCTGGGACAATGAAACCTTTCACTCTTTCGTGAGTGAGTGATTACAAAATTTGTCTGGAGCATCATGGCCAAAGTACGTATGTATGCACATTAGAATACAAAAGTTAACAAATCTACACTCTAAGAAATCCGGTTAAGCAACTGGTATTGAATCATTACCGAGGTTACATATGTGTGATTAGAACGGAGTGTATACATATGTACACACTCAAAACAAGGTAGTAATGAATCATTACCATGTGGAATGACTTTGTGGTTCTACCACGTCGGTTAGGATTTGTCGTATAAATGGTAATAGTTTCAGGGAAATTCAAATTCATTACCAAATATTAAAGAAGTGAATACCATTATGTATTAAGTTTTAATGTCCCTGAACTTAAAGGGCATCCCAAAAGTAAGGTTCAGCTCGGTCAAGCATTGATTTTAAGGGTACGGGCGGGAAAAAATTGATCAGAGATAAGTCATATTTTAAATAATGTCATGTAGATTAAGACAACTGATTTCAGATTTCATCAAAAAATCTTGTCTATGCATTACACGAGCCGGAATCCAAAAACTCGGAAGTGTCGATTTTCACACGCACGAAAATTCATATCGGCGTGATTAGAAAAAGACGATTGATTACTTCGCCAGGCAAGAAAAATGTAGATTCGTTGTCGACCTAATAATTACAAGATGTGAGCTTGCCGGTGACATGAATTGCAAAAAAATGTCAGATCAGACGGTTATCCAGTCGACGAAAAGAAATGTCGAGAAAATTAGGATGATCTCAAAGAAGCGTCCCGCAATTCCATGATTGCCGTATCCACAACACAAAAGATATCGAACTCAACGATATCGTTACTCAACGATAATTTGCAAAAAATTCGCACGTTTTGGCTCGTATAGCAAAAGCTGCTGGAATACCCCCCCAATTTTATTGCGAATTCTTCATGTACAAAAAATTACGAAAATTTTAAGCCATCAAACTCGAAAATCGTTAGAGCGCGAAAAAAACACTATTTCATTGTATATATCTATCTTAACTATCTTAAATAGTGGAAATTATCCAAATTTCCACTAAAAACAGCGTCTAAAACCGCCAACACGAAAAATTCTACATTTTTTAAAAACTTTTATGTCATTTACACAGTGACTGGGTAATGGGAGGTGAAAATGAAGGCCATTATGACATTTTTTTGTTCGTCTTATAAACATTAAATGGTAAATTGTAGATATGTCGTAGCAAGACTACGCTCCAAACAAGTCCTTCTTGTGACCTCATTCCAGTACCTCAGCTGGCGAGGCGTCAATAGTAATTTAGACAAACGGTTGATGTTTATCCAATCGAGAGACGAAGATTCATTGAAAAATAATTAAACGTGGTGGATTTAAATTCAAACTCAGTGCTTTAAACTTAGAAAATTTATTGGAGATTTTACAAGAGTGGTACTCTTGTTTTTTCGGGCATAAAACCAGTGGCAGATTAAGCTATCGCGGGGTCCCTGTCCCTAGGTCAGTTTTTGTTGACGAAAATTTCAACGGTATAGGACCCCAAAATTTTATTACGGATTACTGATCTGCTTAAAATTGTCAACACCCAAAAAGCACAAACGGAATTTATATCTGCATATTATCTACATAAAACAGAATTTCTCAAACTAATTGTGAAATGGCGACATAATAATTAACTACAACATGGGTATTACTGCATTTCAGTGAATTTATTTTTCGTATTTCGATTGGGAAACTCCGTTCGGAATGCTAACTACGTCGCGCCCGTTAATGTTTTCAAATTTTTCTTTATTCTTATTCTCCGTCAAATAAAATATGTTGGTAATGCGGTGCAATTGGAGTGATGTGATCCTTATGTATTTATTCATATGGCAAAATAATAAGGGACCATCCATAAATTACGTAACGCATGAGTGGGGAGTCTAAGATTCCCACTGATATCATGCCATGCCTATGTTAATGTGGGGTTTTTGTATTACGTAATTTATGGACAGCCATTTGATAGAAATATCCAAAAATCTTAGTTTTTTTCAGTAGATTTTAATTTGGCAAGGGGCCATACATAAAGCGTGTGATCTATTTTCGGGAAAGTTTCACCCCTATCCCTCTGGTCTGACCTATATGCCTTCTGTGATAATTAATACGGCAAGGATGTGAACCCTTAACCCCTTCCCCGCTCAAATCGATCACATGCTTTCTGCACAGTCCCCAAATGTGGCCATTATTTTTATTCCAACGAGTTGTTTTATTAACACATACATATTTCTAAAACATGACATCTAGAAAAGTAAAATCAAATCCGCAAAAATACTCTTTCTGAATTTGAACCATCTATTCCACACGTTTTATCCAGTACAAAATTAAAATTTTTAACCATCAATAATTTTAATCTAAATTGAAAAGAAAAAGTTAAAGCAGAACTCGATGATTCATCCCAAAAATCAGCACATTTTTCATAAATTATCCGCTCTTGAAGTTTATTTCAAAATTCTGAAAGATGAATTTATAGGACACGTGCATGGTTCCCATTTTTTTTAAATATACACACTCCAAATTTTGACCATTTTTGAAGAAGGGGTTCCCAAGAAGGAAGCAGCTTTCGGAAAAATTATAACTCATCGAAACTAAAGGTCATCGCCATTCAACTACGTAATGAACTTATTGAGTAAAATTTCTACGTTTAGAATTTTAACATAAATTCCCAGAGCGGAGTAATTATTAAAAATATATTAATTTTGACCATTTAGTTGGGTGATTGGCGAGTCGTTACGCTTAATGTTTCAAAAAAAACATCTAATCGCTGTCCTCCTTTTCCTCCGAAGGGTCGCCCGCAATCAGGTTAAACTTGGACAGTTTAGTAGTCGACGCAACGAAATTGCGGACAAGTTCCTCCGATTTGCTGGAAAACTGTGCGTTTAAAAGTATTTTAATAATGATAATTTATTTCTCTATTTACATAAATGCTTAAACACTCCGCCAAACTAGTGACCGTGGAAGCCGTGAGGACAATAAAATGGTAGGATTGGGAGGGAAGGGTTAATACATATAACATGGGAACATGAAGCGGACATTGTCCCTCTGTCCGTCCACACCATTCCGCGGCCACTGGTCGAAACTCACGTACATGAAGCTCGGGAATTGAGACCTCGTCCATCCCATCCATCGCGGCGATAACTTGTTTAAATGAGTCGGCCTCGTCCTCCGTCAATTCGTGGTACGGATGAATCCCATCGTGTGTCAGGATTTGTAGCGTTTTAAGGCCTGTAAATAATAATAATTAAGCGAAAGCAGGTAAATTACATATACGTACACCAAGCAAAATAATTTCGTTATTTCCATACATGCATTTCAATAATTTCTAATGTCAAATTGCGTCTAAAATTTTTAGACGCACTTTAACACATCGTCATTTGAACCTTGTACATAAAATACGTACATACATATGTACGCTTTGTAAAATAAATGTGGAAACTTTTACAAAAAAATTGTAATCTAATTTTCATAAATTTAAAAGTTCATAAATTAACGGATTTTACAATGTTGCCAAGACCTGGGCAAAATTGCATCAAAAAAATTAGACAGTGCTAAAAATATGCAATTTCATGATAAAATAGCGCACCCCAATATTTTCAGATTGCAAATTTTCATATCCTTTTTTTCCAACCCACTCACCTGCATACAACTCCTTTGCATCCAACAAATTACGAATCATGTCCCCAATTTTATACGGATATTTGGCCATCGTCACTTTCAAATAGGTCAGCCGCCCCCAACCCCCACACGCGGCCAGAATAGCGCCCAACTTCATGTCGTCCCCCTTGTCGCAGAAATCCGGCCACAAATAGTGATACGTGTCCATCTCGAAACGCATCACGTTCGGAAAAGCGGTCCTTAATCCGTCCAAAATGCAGGGATCTCCATACACTTCCATCAACGCCAAGGTGGACACACTCCCAAAAATCTTGTTGGCGAAAATTCCTCGCAAAATTTCAGAGACGCGTCCCGATTTTAAAAATATGTTCCCGATCGCGAGCGATTTCAGGGTTTCGACGTTTCGGAGAAGGTCGCCGCAGCCAAAAATTTCGGCCATTTCATTTCTGAAATTTTGCAATTTCGCCATTCTTCCCGGTAAGTGGAATCTGGTGCCATTTTCGGGCTCAAGCCATCGCAAATTTGCGGTTCTTTTACGTCCGACGTAGCCAAAACTGAGGGTGACGAGTTGGTCGCGAACTTGATCCACCATTTTGGACAGGTTTGTCAAGATTTCGTCCGCCACGTGCATGGCACATGGTCCAACCCGACCGTCCACCTCAACTTTTAAGGACTCCAGAACCGTAGAATTTCCTAAATCTGGACACACACCCCACGGAAGTGTGATCCCACTCAAATTTGGCGCCGCGGCGAGCACCATGTCCACAAAATTGGTCAGAAACGGAGTCACTTTCCTTGCTCGGAGGGTAAAAAGGGTCAAATTTGATTTTATTGGGATTCGCACGTGCAAAATTTTCTCCTCTCTCGGATGCAACTTGAAATTCTTGGACTTCCCAAATTTACACGAAATCCAACACTGCTTCAAGTTCGGGCAGAAGTTTTGCAATATTTGGAGAACGGATTTCACACAGCTTTCGTATTCGATGGAGACCTCCAGGATTTGCACATTATTGGTAAACTTCTCGCAAAAATAGGTCAATTTTGCGGCGAAGGAGTGAATGGCTTCGCAGGTCGAGGCCCTGATCCGTTTAGCAAGTCGGGGATCCAATGTGAAACACAGGTCGAAAAATGGAACCAGGTCGTTATTATTTCCAGCTCCTTCGTGGTTCAGTTTTAACGCGAGTCTCGGATTTGGCAAGGTGAGGACGATATCGTTCCAAAATTTGCAAACCTGTCGACAAGTCAGCAACGGGGTTGACGTCTGTTTCATTATTTGTGTCAAAATCTGTCAAAAATCAAGTCAGGATTCAGTTAAATTTTAAATTCACACGTTTGTAATTAATTGGCTTTAAAGGAATCATTAATCATTTACGATTGGATTGTTTAACGCGATTTCTTGCACATTTCGCCCGGATTCCATTGCAAATCGGGCGACAATTCCTGCCAGCAAAAATTAATGAAAATTGTAAATTACAATTTATACATATAATAGCAAACTTCAGAAATTATTCTTTTTACGAATAAATATATGATATAATTTGGATGACAAATAATTCACTACTTACTATGGATAATTAAACTTGATTAGCAATTACAAATTATTCAAAACAATGTTTGGATTAAATTGAATTGATATTGAGGAAAAAAATTATTGACGAAATATTGAAAAAGAACTTTTGTTGTGAATCACAACTTGTGATTCTTGTAGAGGAATGAGAGCGAGCACATGTCTCTGGTGACATTTCGCGGGTTGCACTGGTCTCATTTGAGGACGGGGCCGTGCATAAAGTATGAGATTGATTTGAGACGGGGTCTCGCAGGGTTTCGATTGGTTCAAAAACCATATTGGCCAAGGCAACGGGATAAAATGGAATATGACACTTTTAACATGAATACGTGGTAAAAAATGTTGTTTCTTAATAGGAAAAACATTGTTGAGGCAATGCGAAACAACTTCTTTAAAACATGTAACTATTAAAATTTTTTTCTTCATATTAGTATTCTCCATCAAATTCCAAGAAAATTAGTTGATTCAGTGTAATGTTTAAAATTAACATGTACAAATTGACATGAAAAAATTGTTTTGGAAAAAACAATCCAAGTTGTTCCTAGTGCGTACATGTCAAAATTTTCAGAAATTCCTGGAGATTTTCAACAAATATGAAATCCAATCCATTGATTAGGGTGACCATCCGTCCCGGTTTAGCCGGGACATGTCCCGCTTTTCAAACCCTGTCCCGGCGTCCCGAAAATGTCCCGGTTTTGATAAAGTGTCCAGGTTTTTTAAATGGTCTAAAAAAATTAAATTATTTCACTTTTTCACCAAAATATTGATGAAAATGTACATATTAGTACATAAATACTAGAAACATGCATGCAATATTTACTTAATTTTCTTTCCTGGCCCATTCTAAAAATTCGGTGATATCTGAATCGCCAGGCACTAGATATTATGAATTTTTTTTCGCCAAGCACTAGATATTATGCCAAATTTTTTCGCCAAGCACTAGATATTATGGAAAAATTTTTCGCCAAGCACTAGATATTATGGAAAAATTTTTTAGCCAAAAAATGTCCCAGTTTTAGTCAGGACAAATATGGTCACCCTACCATTGATTATTAAAGAAGTCCTCATCACTAAATAAATACATTGGCCGACATACTTGTTTCCCAGTTTTGGATGGCGAAATGCATTTTTCCCAGTTTTTACGCCTTTTAAGATGGCCTTATAGATTTACCCAGATGTCTGTCTGTCCGTCCGTCTGTGCGTCCGTCTGTGCGCACGATAACTCTCTTTAAACCAAAGCTATCGAGTTGAAATTTTGCATGCTTCATCTTCGGGTAAAAAGTAAGGATGAGTTCGGAGATGGGCATGATCGGTCAAGTGGTTGGCCAGTGGGGGTCATTTCCACCCAAATGTGTTATCATTAACTACCAAGATGGCATTAATGCCATCTTAAAAGGCCCCGCAAAGGTGCTAGGAGTAGGTTTTTCTGGCTATTTTTCTCAACTTGTCACTTGGAAAAAATATCGAAACCCTCAATGTATTAAACACCATATTGTACATGAAGGAATTTTTCGAAATTCGGATCCTGTGTTTGATCCGGATTCTGCCCGAATCCGGATCTCGAAACGCCGGAATGCGTGGTATCCACAAAGGATTCAAATCAGGAATAGAATCTCCCAAACTTGAGATTCGGATTCCATTTTTGAAAGAAAATGGGCTCTAAACATTGTCCACAATATCATAAATATATGTATTCATGACGATAACATGTGGCCTACACGTGCAGAATCCTTTATTCTCGACCTAAATAATTCATGGTATCATTGTTCACAAAATTGATGAAGAAAAACAACCCCAATTCATTTTCAATGGTTCAGACAAAGTCGATCGTGAACAATGGAAACTTTTAGGCCTGGCCAAAGGGTAAAATCAGGATAAAAAGGTGCATAAACATAATTAACCCATGTCCCACATTCCCTTCCTGACTCATGTATCTATGAATGGCACAGTGAATTCCATGAGAAGGGATATATAGTCTAGAAAAATGGTTTTCCAAACTTTGGTTCATACTGAATACGAGCATCATTCCCATCTTTATCCTTCATCTTCATTAATGGATTTAATAAATTAATGCATCGTTAATTAAACCCGTATTGAAGCTAAAATATGTACATTTGCATACATAAATGCACACTTTACTTGTGAATACAATCATAGATAAGATACTTACACATATTTCATATATACTTATACGCCTTGCAGAAATTCATAAACAATTGGTAATTTCAAGTACAAATACTTGCGCACCATTGTAAAAGGAACCGTTCAATATATTTGTACCGCTAGATAAAATAACATTCATTGACATACATGGTTGACATGGCATTATTTCGTTACAGTTTCTGTGTTACTATTTACATTTTTGACATTTTATAATTTATGCACATGCTACAATTAAGGGGACGTTCGTAAACTTCGTAACGCAAAGAGGGGTGGGTGGGGGTCAGGGCCCAATGATATCGTGCCTATGTGACACATGTTAAAGGCAGTGGCGGGGCTAGCCAAATTTCACAAAAAAAATTGAAAAATGAAGCTCTTCTCACAGAAATTTCAATTTAAGCCTTTAAAAGGATTTTTTTTAAAAGGACAAATTACCAATGCATTTTTAATTAAAAAATATTCCCGGAAGTGTTCGAACTGTAGGTTTTGAAATGTTTATACAAAAAATTTGGACGAATTAAATTAACACCCTTTATTTGATGCAAGGAATTGTCAACAAAGTCTTAAAATAATTACTAATGACTAATATACAATATGCACATAGGTATGTGCGTATGTGCCATCGTATAATGTAAAGTATATATATTTAATTCTATGGACGCTACAGAAGAAATTCCAGCCTCCTTTTAGGATTTTTTCCAAATTCGTCCACTACAATCATAGGGTTTTCTCTTAATTTTGAACTCAGGTCCCGATTGGTGGACAAAATTGTCAAACTTGAGGTCCTTGTTTCCTGCATTGTTGTTCGAAGAAACGACTTGACTCGATTTAGTGTACTAAAACTACGTTCCGCAGTAGCGCTGGAGACTGGAAAGGTTAAAACCAGAGCGAAGTACTTTATCAGATCAGGAAAGCCGTCACTCATGAACTGTAAGTACTCGTAACACTTTGTCGTTCGATCGATTTTTTCTGCCTTGATTAAATTCCTGGCAACGGGAAGTTGAGCTTTAAGTGAATCTACATTAAAATTGAATCTGATAAATGACGCACAAAAATTCAGTACTTTTTCTGCATTGAGAAAGTCTTCATTTAGTGGGTCGGACGCCGAGAGACCCCTTAGAATTTCCGAGTAATCCATTAGTCGTCTTTTCATTTCCTGGATGAAACGATCAAGCACCTCGTAATACACTCCTCTCAATTCTTGTTCAATTGTTCCGGCTTCGGTACACCTGCTTCCTGTAGTAGCACAAACAAATGAGTCTATCAAGTATTTTGACCTAACAGTTTTTCTTCGCTTGGAGACTGGCACACAATTTGGATCTGGAACCTCGACAAAAACTTTATGCGAAAGAGCCTCAGCTGACTTCCAGAGATCATTGAACATCAATTCATTCCTCATTTCTGATAGCGTGGTGATAGTAGCTTCACATAAATTAATGGCACGTGTGTAAACAAGATCTGAACACTGAAGATATTCTGAAAGTGCATTTGTATGTCCAAGAACTTGATCCAAAATGACAATTAGTAGAAGTGTTCGAAATGATTTCAGTTGATGAAGAAATCCTTTGCATTCTGCAAGATCAGCAGGTTTTCCATTTTCAGAAATATTTTCCAACGCCAAGATTACAGAATCTAGCCGATTGTGGAAATATGATATCCCATTCTTTTGACTTGACCATCTCGTATCACAACTTTTTGGTAGCTCCAAAATTTTATCGTATCCGATCATTGCTTGAGCGTCTTTGAAATATTCACTCCTACGTACAGACTGACTTTGATAATTATAAATAGCTTGAATAAGTCCAATTACTTCTTTGATATCTTTAATATCGGCACAACAATCAACCAATACCAGATTTAAACGATGTGCGTAACAATGTACGTATGGAGTTGGCCCCCAACCTGAGACTGGAATCGTTTGCATACGCCGGAAATGTTACCGCTCATGACGCTGGCGCAATCATATGCTTGAGAGACACACCGGGTTATGTCTAGTCCACTGTTGATTATCATTTTGCTAATACCGTCTGTTATGGATTCTGCGTCAAATTTGTGCAAATCCGTAAATCCAAGGAATCTCTCCACAATTTCACATTGACATAAATATCGTACGCAGACACTTAATTGTTCGATTCCGCCTTTATCCTTCGTCTCGTCGGCGATCACAGAGTAACAGTTGGATCCATATTTCCTTGACAATCATACCTCGAGTCAATTTTCCACTTAATTCGATTATTTCATTTTGTATGTGATGATCAATATATTTTGCATTTCCAGGCATCGATTCGACATTTTTTGCTAAGTCAGGGCATTTTTGCTTCAAGTATTTCGATGACGTTTCCTCGGTTTGATGTCTGCTCGTTCTCTCGATGTCCTCGAAGCGATATTTCTTGCTGTGCGCATAACAAAATAATTTCAACATGACTTGACAACACATTGCGATTCCGGATAACATTGTTTTTATGGTGTGCACTGATTTGAGTTGCTATTGTTCCTTTTTGTTTAGATTGAAGATATAGTACATATTTTTCTCTTGCGAATTGATTGCGAATCCTTGGATTTTGAATATTCTATCATGTTGAATTTTTCATACCATGATGAATTGAAACCCCGATTCTTGCCCCCAATTAATGTCTTCGGAAAACTTTGTAAATTTGGTTGAACAGGCTTTCCGTTCTTGTCCTTACTGATATCACCAGGATCAGAATCAAAAACTGACTCCATTTTTCGGCCTAATATTTTATAAATAAAGGAATTGTTTAAGAAGGACCTGAGTCAAATAATTACAGTGAGAAATCGTGTGCTTAAATTACCAGACCAAATCTATATGAGCGAACAAATTTGAAGTGATGTCAATTTAACTTAAAATCAGTGCTGACACAACTGACATATATAAGTATTCAGTGAATACCATTCACACGCAAAGTGATCAATTTCGTATTGTCATCTCGTTATATAAGCATCTATTTACTACCGGGGCCGCATGTATAAGAAATTTGCCATTCATAAGCTTTCATATCTATGCCACCATATATATTTTAGCAATTTCGACTTGATAGGGTTGGTAGCCACTAAATATACAAATAGCCAACATTACTGGGTTGAAAAATTAATTCATTGTTGTCAACCACGCCTGAGATATTTGTGTCCGAAAAAAGATTTACAAACAAGTTTTCCGAAATTGAATTAATTTTGTATTTTGTTTTATATTTTTTTAAATGTCAATTCGTTTATTTTCCGCAGAATATGAAGTGGGGGAGTATGTATGAATATTATTGGAATACATTTAGCTTCTGTAAATAAAACAACATATTTTTAAACCTTTTTACAAATCGCACTGCTTTATCAAAAAATACCGAGAGTAAGTTTCAAAATTGATCAAATCAAACTACAACTACATATTTCTTGAATAATACAAGAGATTTCAAAGGAAATCTTTGACATCATTTTGGAAGTTGAAGGCCACATGGCCGATAATTTACAATGTCACGGGACTTGGAAGCATAAGTTTTAATTTTGAAAATGGATTTTAAAAATAAAGATGCTTATTGTAGCTTGGACATACGGAATAGAGTAATGTATTCAGCACCTTGTGATTTTTAGTTTGTCTACAAAAGATCAGCCTGCTAATTCATCTTCGAAAAATGTTTTCATGACACTCGCTTGCTCGAATTCCAGATAAAGTCAATGCAAGGGTTACCTATAAAACCTTTGAGCGGATTTTTCACTTCCGGGTAGGACAGACATGTTACCCTACTCAAACTTGTATTGCACCCATAATTGTTCAACAAATCGTTTTTGCATTCAAAGGTCAGTCATCCCAATTGCTGACTCAAGATTTTCATTCACACTCAGTCATTTTCTTTCAAATTCATTTCATTTCTCACTAGGGTGAAAAATTAGAGAAGTGATAAATCATTTCATTCACAGTCACTCCTTTTAAATGACAGAATCTTTCACTAATTTTAATTAAAATCACAGGACATTTATTTTCATTCGAATCACAGGAAATTCATTTTCATTCGAACTACAGGAAATTCATTTGCATTCAAATCACAAGAAATTCATTTTCATTCACCATAATCAGTTGTATGAATGAAACTCAACCGGTATGGTCGAGCCCAGAATAATTTAACGAATCTTTTAGTCAGCCATTAGTTTTAAATTGTAATAGCTTTGTGAATTCCTGACAGATTTAAGTATGTTGTTTTTGTCCTACGATGTTCACAATAATTTGTAATTCGTTCCAATAATTTAGAAACGTCTGAGGCATGAAGTTATACCATGCATAGCAACTTGACCAAGATTACAAATTTTTGTTTCTTGTTGCCAAAAACTAGAGCAAAAATCAGCAATTCTCCTCCTCGCAGCAAAAACCGGTTTCAGATTCCTAAACAGTGAACTCTGCAAAATTTTATCAAAATCAGGTGAGAAATGACCGAGATTTCGAATTTTTGCCTTATTGGGTGGAAAAAACCAGGCTTCGTAATTTTTTTCTGGAAAATTTTCTAAATTTACAATAAGTGCTAGAAAAAATTTTTACCATTTGAAAAAATTGCAATAATATCTAGTGTAGAGGGGCACCAAATTACACGTGGGCACGGGCCCACTTGTGCCCACTGCTAGCCCCGCCACTGGTTAAAGGGGGGTGGGTGGGTGTCCAGAAAACCAAAAATTTGCGTTATGAAGTTTACGAATCCCTAAATAGGCAGCCGTATCTCTTAAAAAATAATGTGACCCTTTACTTAAGGAGATGCACTTATGCATGTCAAAGAAAACGAGGGGTGGGGTCGCATTATTATTAGGTAATGACCAACGAAGTAAGCAAACGACCCTTTGCAATGCAGCCGGCTCCACGTGGAATTCTTTACCTCGATTGTTAAATATTGTCCACTCTCATGCGTCCGGCAGCTTACTTGGGTTAAATTTATGCCACATTTCTTAGAAAGGATGGTCCCTTACTTTGTCGCGGTCCTTCGAAGGACCACGCCGTCTTCCATTAATAATGCCACTCAGGGCCCGGGCTGGGTATATTTGCGCCCTAGGCAAAATTTTTCTTGCGCCCTAACTTTTCCTCATGAGAAAAATTCCCTGTTAAAAATCTACTATTATGAACTATACATTTCAGCAGCACCTTACATATGTGTAGTTCAAGAATTACTAAGCTCAACAATTATTTTATTGTTGAAACTTATATTCGTACTGAAAGTCCAAATAATAAACCTTGCAGAAATATAAATTTGTGTGCAAATGGTTCAACATTTGGAAGAACCATGAGATGAAACTAGGGCTTCCCACCGGACGGGACAGTCTTATCTTGTCTCGGCAAGACGGGGACGTCTTGTGACCATTTAAGTATGATACTTTCGTCTCGGAATTTATCAAAATTGAATTTAATAGTTGGCGCAATGGTGATATTTGTTCAATAAAATATAACTTGAGGGAGATTATAATTCCCTTAAGCTAAGTATTCACCTCATGTTTTTCGCGTGAAAATACACCTTTCGGGCGAAAAGTAAAAAAATTTCACCCCCATTTCGGCTCACGGTATTCACCTCCGAAAATATTTCGGGTGAAAACCTGCGACGGTTTTTCGCTCGATCGAAATTTTGTTGATTTTTTCGGCCAAAGCGGGACGAAAAAGTTTTCGCCCGAAAACCATTTTCCGGCGAAATTTGAAGCGCCAGTTTAAAATTTTGTTATTAGTTATCGTTTGTAGATTCAACTTACGCATTTTGTAATTTCTATTTCTTCAACTAGTTTCACATATTATTAAACTTTAATTAAATTCTTTAGTTGATAGGCTTATAAGTAAAATATCTAAGTGGTTTAGTTCCCAGATGAGATCATGTCTCCCGAAAATATTCGAGAAGTGAATACCCTGGTTTTTTCAGGCAGAAATTATTCAAGAAAATATTTTGATTTTCGCCCCAAACTTAATTCCCTCGCCGAAATATTCCGGTAGAAATTTTCGCCCGGAATTTTTTTGCCGAAAAAAGTAGGTGAATATTAACCTTAAAATGGAAAGACTATAGAATTTAGAACTTAGAATTTTGTGTACAATGCGAACATGAAGTCAAGGCTTGAGAACATTGATTTAAAAACAAGCAGTTTCCGATTAAAAAACGGAGGTTTTCCGTTTTAGGGATGGCAAAGGTCTTTTTGTCACACCCCTGTGTAATGCGATTTTTACCAGCCGAAACCATAGTTAAATTACTCTGGAGTTATTAAAAACAATTTGCATCATCATGGTGGCTAAAACCCATTTTACCCACCCATTTTGCCCACCCTATTTTCCCCACGGTAAGACCCTGGTAACTAACCACATTCTTTACTTCTCCATAGTTGGGTATTAAAGTATGTGAATAGATTTACCCGGGAAGAACATGACTAAATTAGAAAGAAGAAATTGGATAAATATGAATAATCTATAAGGGGATTAGAGCTTTTCCGAGGTTGAAGGTTTAACTCAAATTAAAATTTCAAAGATTAATATTAATAAAAATTTGTTAATTGTTTTTTAAACAATTCTCCAAAAAGTAAAAATAAAAAAATATGAAGAATCCAGTTGGGTTTGAACACACCTGAGTTTCAATTTTTTGTTTTTAACGTTGGAGTCGGCACCGTTGTTTTATTTCTTTCAGGCTTCAGACAACCCGAGGGTCTTAACAAAAAATTACCACCCAGGGGATTTAATTAATTGTTTTTGGGTTTCATTGGGTTTTAAAGGAATTTAGGTAACAAACTCCACAAAATAATCCTCACATGAAAGACCACATTTGGGAAAATTAATCCGATTTTTTACACCTGTACTTTCAATTAAAGAGATTCATTTTCGTATCACACTTAAACACAAAAGCATTGTCCAAAAAATCCGAGTTTTCTGGGAAAACCGACGTCTGGGGGTTTCTCTGAGACTCTACCCTGTTTTATATACATTTTTTTTGGCGGGTGGAAGTCAACAAATTTTTTGAAAATATTATGTAGATGATATTAAAAATGTTAATACCACGTTTAAATACGACATTCTCAAAAAACGCTCAATTTCTAAAAACGCTCAATTTCTAAGAACGCTCAATTTCAAAAACCGCTCAATTTAAAAAAACGCTCAATTTCTAAAAATGCTAGAAAAGGGTTCTAGGGACAAAAATAAATAATAGTAAACTCTAGGCGAAAATCGCTTTCAAGGATATTTACCCGCGTTTGAGCTAAAAATCGCAGACAGACGCAATTTTTCCAACTTTCAGCTCCACTCACTTCGTGAGGGGGCCCAACAGAAACGCCGGAGAGATTTGGGAGTTGTGAAATGATTTTGGTTATCATATCTAATTGTCACTCATGACAGAAATTTTATTTTCTTAACGCAAAAATACGCATATCTGCATTATTCTTGTATCGGAATGCGCAAGTATGAGCGCAAGGCGCGATTTTTTATACATGTTCCTTCAGAAAATTTAGGGAGTGTGTACTACTGTCAGAAACTGATCAAAAATCCTAAAATATAAGTTTCGTGATAGTTGAATTTTTAATAAATCAGGTATGCCTTTCATCGCCCGATCCCGCCCATATGTTTGCTGGGGCATGATCGTAACAGCGCCCATTTGATGCCATTTTCCATCTGAAGCCTGGTATTCGCCTTCATTTTTTCGCCCGAAATAATTCCGGGCGAAAATTTCAACCGGAATATTTCGGGGAGAGAATTAAGCTTGGGCTGAAAACCAAAATAGCGTCCTGAATAATTTCTGCATGAAAAGGACATGGTATTCACCTCTCGGAAGTTTTTGGCAGACACGATCTCAGCAGGGAATTAAACCAATTAAGTATTTTAATCATAAACACATTAATTAAAACGTTTAATTAAAGTTTAAGGGTTTTTAGAACTAGTTAAATAAATAAGAATTATATAACGCGTAAAAGATAAATAGTGCCAAAATTTGAAATTGGCGCTTCAATTTTCGCCCGTAAACGGTTTTCAAGTGAAAACGTTTTCGGGTCACCTGAGCCAAAAAAAAATCAACAAAATTTTAATCATGCGGTATTTTAAATTTATTAATCCTTATTTCAACTATATGAGATAAAGAGGTATCAAGGATACAAAATTTGTACCAAAGTACTTTCGATCGTATGCACGCTAAATAAATATGTATGGTGAAAATTTATCCAACCTTGATCACATTTCACTTAACTCTTGATGCCAAAATGCTATGACACAACTGCATAGTTGTGAGTCGTCAATCAATGAGTGATCCGTGTCAGAGTGAATCCGTGAGTGAGATTTCTGCATAGAAATCTCACTCACGGATTGACTTATCCGATCACACAATTGTTAATCTTAGTTAACTATCTACTATAGTAAAATATGATATATTAAAATATAGTAAATGTAACTTTGGTAACCGGATTTCGCCTGACTCAAAAATTTTTAAATGCTTCCAAATACCCATAAAACTAGATCCTATTATGTAGAAATTGCAATTGTAACAATTGGACTACCAATAAAGCGAGTCTCTAGTTTTTTATGACTGAAATGAATGTGCGTGTATTTATGTATAGGTATGTGTATGTATGTATGTAAACCTTTGGGTGCTTCGCCGCACCCTCAGATTTTGACGGCCTGTGCAATTATTCTAGTTGCCCTCCCCAATGTCGGGGCCTGTTCATAGAATCATGCTCTCTATTCTTGAACTCATGTTAAGGTTCGAAAAGTTCAAGTTTATGAGAATGATGTTTTGCCCGGAAAAGAGATTAAAATTCTCGCCTCACGCTCATATTTTATCAGCGGTGCCTCAGCGCCTTAGACACCTGTTTGGCCTTCTTACCCCCCTCACGCACCCAGTAAGAACGCGATGAGTGAACTTATTGTATTGCTTATTGGAGCAGACATGCATTTCTGTGAACTTGTAAAACCTCTTTTGCAGTTTTATATATGGACCTGTTTGGTTAATATCAATTAATTTGTTTCTGAATACAAGAATCCTTTGTGCGCCTTTTGTATAACAATTACGTCAGGGCGCCTGCCGGCGTCCTCAGTACTTGGCGTTGTGAGAAATTGTCAACTACCAAATTTCAGGGCGTGCATGTAGATGACAATATTTATTTGTCAAAAACTACATGACGCACAAAATTAAAGCTAACAAGTTTATCAAATACGCCTTACGGCGCCCTTGAGGATTTGGCGCCCTAGGCAGTTGCCTAGGCCGCCTGACCCCTAAACGGGCCCTGATGCCACTCATGCCCATTTCTTTCTCATTCCGATTCTAACCTCGCTGCAGTAAAGAAGAAAATTGGTTCGCGTTTAACTCAAGTTACATACCGGAGAAATTAAATATGCCACATGTAAAATAATTTCATCAAGTGCCAGAAAGTTACGGGGAAGTGTAAAAGAAGGAGAAAACGAGTTCATTTTTTCCCAAATTCGATCTGAAATTCACAACAATAATTTACCGTAAGTACTTAATCAAATTCTGCCTTAACCAAATACATATCTTGGATTAATGAAAAGTAATTTACAGAATTTTTAACTTGCATACACAAGTTGAACTGGAATTACAAATTTAATCAGTTCCGATTTAAAGTATTATGAATAGATTTAAATTTTGGTTTAAATTCTTAAAATCACAATGTCAGTCAAGTAAAAAACGAATTAAGGTTTTGATATTTTATTTCAGTGAATGTTTTTACGATTATAATTTTTACAAAGTAATTTTCCCATTACAGGGAGTCGACCATGTTCCAATTCCACACTTACTTCAACTATGTCCCCTCAAATTCCACGCCCACAAAATTTAGTGCAACTTTTCCTCCAGGTAAGAAAATTTGTCCCATATTTACTCCTGCTTGACAGGAATCACAAAGCATGATCAGTTATTTTCCTACATGTTTTTAGAAATAAATCATTATACTTTAGGGACAGTTCATAAATTATGTTGCGCAAAATTGCGAATTTCTAAATAGACCCCGCTCCCCCTTTTTAACACATTTCATAACATAAATGGGCACGATTTCGTTAGAGCATTATGCCCTCCTCACCCCTCACGTGTTACAGAATTTAAGAACGGCCCCTTAATTATAATCTACCGTTAAATAAATATCACGTCATGACAAATACATAACTATTAATTCGAAAAGTCTGAAAATAGTGTTAAAAATGCATCTTTATTCTGCATAATTTTGAAAAGCCGAGGTTCAAATGGGCAAAATTATTTAGCAACATTTTCAAGATTCGGCATTTGTAATTGTACCGATTCGATAGAAATTATTCAAATTATGTCGGTTTAAATATTATGAAATTCTGTGTTAAAAATATTTCGCATGTTATGCTAATTATCCGTTTCGAATCACAGATAATAAGGAACCCCGCAAATCCATCAATCCCTTAAGGTTTTTTGGTAAATTTTACCCCTCTGCAATCAACAGACTGCAAAATACCTCCCCCACACGTGATCACTTTTAGCAGCACCTCCCCAATTTGTGGGCCACCCTCCGTGAAGACAACTTTTCATCATTATCTGCAAATTTGTCGAGTTCCTGAAGCAACAAGTAATTTCAAATCCTCTATTTCGACCTAGGTTATCCACCTGAAAAATATTTCGTAATCTTAGAAAATAGCATATAAGTAGTTACTCCACCATTTTAGGTTTTAATTATTCCAATTTTTCTACTAATTATCTCTCGTCAAACTTTTCTCAACAAAATTCCAACGTATGAATATTAATTACTTCTAAATTATGCAGTACTCAAGGTTTGCTAAATTTAGCCGGATACTTTGTTATGGATTTGGCCAAAGCTCATGGCACGTGATTTTAGAGAGCACAAGGTTTTTTTAGTGGAGAGAATATTAATCTAGTCGATACATAAATACTAGTTTTATATAATCTTGAGAAATTTGCACATTCGCAAAATTAAGATCCTTAAATAACTAAAAACCTTAAACACCTCATCGACTTAAGAGTTGACTATATTTTATGTTAAACCAATCCTCATAAATCACATAGTGGCGAAACTGATGAACTCGGTGGGGTAAAAAGTTCACAAGTTTCGGTGGGAATTTTGAATTTTTTGCAAAAAACTGCAAATATCATCTGGCATTGTTTATGTTTTTAGTGGTTTCCAGTGGGAAGAGTATGTGTGGTGGTGGCTTCCCACCACGCATACTCTATAACAAGTTGAGACGAATCATGAAAAAATGCAAAATCTTGACCTGGTCATTCTAATTCCGAGATTAAATGTGCACTCAAAAATGTGGAATTTGTTGAATTACAACTAGTGATAGTTGCGCAACAAGAAAATAAGGCCCTTTGAGGAATTGATATGCTACTTTTATTTATATTAAATTCCGAAAATCAATTTCCATCAAAATTTTGTTTTTCTCGAGATTAATTGATTAATACAAATAAAAGTAGCATATCAATTCCTCAAAGGGCCTTATTTTCTTGTTGCGCAACTATCACTAGTTGTAATTCAACAAATTCCACATTTTTGAGTGCACATTTAATCTCGGTATAAGAATGACAAGGTAAAAAAGCTGTGCAAAAAATTATGCATGTTGTCAGCATACGGAGAAATATTGAGCGAGAGACTGTATTGGCTGATAGAGCGGCCAGAGCAAACTATAATGCCCCGTTAAAACACGCCTTAAAACCCTTGACATGGTTTTACCAAGCAGCGAAGTTAGTTTTAAATGATGCAACAAATCAAAAAAATATTTCCATAACATGTAAATATTTTTTTAATTTGGTATATATATGTACATATAATATATCTACTACCAAAAATTGATGCAATTAGTAACTTATCTTTTTTTGATAAGCCGCCTTAAGAAGCACATGGTGGAAATAGTGTGAAATACAATTTGCTGCGCTTCACCAGTTAGGGCCCATAATTCGGAAGGTGCTGCTGACCGGTATGAGAATCTATTGAAATGTCCCCTTCGTATATAATTTAGCGCAAGAATTTCAAACGAGTGATATTAACTAACAAAACGGTAGCATTAACTCCTGCGAAATTGAACATTTTACTGACAACGGATTGAAGGTTAAATTTTAAATTTGAGTAAAATATTTTGCCACTGGGCCTTAAGTTACATAAATACATAATGACCAACTGAACCTGAAATGCATAACAGACAAGATGATTGAATTTTGTTACCAAGTATAGAAATATTGAATCGTATAGAAATTAATTATAATGGCAAACAAAAATCGTTCAGAGATCCCTTTGTGTTGCTTAAAGAAGTATCATATCTATGTATAGCATACATATTAGGCGTCCTGAACGAAATTTTTCGCTCCCACGAGTTACCCTATTACGAATTGTCGAACTGCCACCCTACCCGCCTACGAGTTGCGCAACGACGATTTACCCGTTACCCCCCGCATTATCTTAATAATAGTCTTTCTCTAGATAAGCTAACCTAATCGTAATGTGCATATTCACGGGAAACTGCGTAATTTTCTTATATGAATTTATTGAAGAAGGGATAAACAAATGCACATAGTACAACATATAATATTAAACAAATATTTCTAGTTACACAAATGTTGGAGATAAGCTCGGCTGCATATTTATTTATGTAGGAGCCATGCATCGCACATTGGTGATGCTTTATATGCAGGCGTTTACTTGTTTATACTCTAAATCTGTGATATCCAAATTCTTATAATTTCGAACTGCTTCCAGACGTAACGAAATCGATTTAATTTTCACGGCATACATGATCTATGTATGAATGTTATGTGATTCTAAGACTTCTATCCAAAGGACCGAGCATCAAATTTCCACGCATTATTTTCAGCAGATGAGAAAACATATGACCCGTCTAATAATAGTGCCACAGTGTTTGAAATATACATATACATTTGATAAAATCCTTTGCGGATTATTGACTGTGTCGAGCAGCTTCATTAATTGATCCTGCTCCCGAATCTCTAATGAAGATGAGCGTCAGAAATTCATCCTCGTAGATATGAAAATTGCTCGAAAATTCTAAAAATGCTTATTGAAGTAGAAAAAGAATTAACAATATTTTAATGTCAGAAGATTTCCTCGCCAGTTGTAATGGAGGGGTATGATCCATATCGTACATTTTTATCGTCCTCATTATGCTGATTTGGATAGAGGTAATCAATAGTTTATTTTATCCATGTAGTATTCTGGCGTATCCTGGCGTTCTTGAGTGGAGAACACCTCTTGTGAATAACTGTCGAGGATTGTCTTGATTCTGAAGCATTCATTCGCTTGGATTGTTTCCTTCGTAATATCTTCCCACCTGAGTTTTAATTCGATGGTCGTAGAGGGTAGAGATGTATCTTTCAAGGGGCAACTTATTGGTGGTGGTATCCTCCTAAGTACTCCTTCTCCTGATCTGTGGCAAAATTGATGCCATTTATACCGTGTCCCAAAGTAAGTTAGACAGTGATCCATGACCTGTGGAGTTCGACCTGGTTGGAATATTTTTATAAAGTCTTCGGTGCAGGGTTGGTGGTAATCATACCAACCAGTTTTTGTCGCGGTGGATTGGGCACAGCCCCTTCTCGACTTCAAATCCGAAAATCCGAACCAACCCTCGAATTTGATTGATTTTTCCTAATTAACGTTTGAATTATTGCAGCTTTTTCGCATTGAAGTTTATGTTAGAGTATCTTGTTTTGCAAAAGGTCTAACATTTATCGATTTGTCGCAATTGAGGGGCATTTGCGAGGTTTTCTTTTTAAACCACAAAATCGACTTCTTCAGCACGAAAGTACGCGGTTCAAACTTTGGCGTAATGGGTGCTTGCGAGGTTCGGTCAAAATAAAATTTCATTCAGATTATGAAATTTCCTTATCTAAAGGAGTGGCCGCTTCAAAAAATCCGTTTCTATTAACTTTTGTATTTATGGTACCTGTTCAAATACAGGGTGGCGAAATGTTGCCAGAACCGACCGTAGCCAGCCAAACTAGGAATTTCACATAGAATTTGAGTTTCACTTTAAGCTCGTGTTAATATTTCACATCCGAGGGGCTGGCGAAGTGAAAACATTTTAATTTCGAAGTCTCTGAGAGATCAACTTTGCCGTAGTTCCCATCATAGTTTTTTGATTTAAAAAAAATTTGCACTCTTTTTTAGTCCTTAACGTACTTTGGTAGACTCTTTTATTTTTCTGCAATGCTCAGTTTATGAACTTTCATGTTGTGGAACAAACATTTTGAAACTTGCAAACCCGAGATGCCCCACGAATTTACGTGGCGTTAGTGTTGAAAAGTGTTTTTATGTCTTTCGAGTTTTAATTGGAGGCTATGAAAAGGAAACTTGGCTTATAAATCGTGCCATTTCAAACTGCATGTTTCTAAAAAGATCTCAAACCTTTTATGGTTGGAGGTCCAAAATCAAAACTTTTGATCTTATATGAAGTCTCAAAGTAGAGGTCCAATGTTATTAAAAACGCGATTGGCTATTGTCTTGTTTGATGTCAAATCTTTGTCTTACAAATTGTAGTCCGGCTCATAAAATAACCAAGGATATAAAAAGTTATTGGGTCAAAGTTCGAACTTAGTAACTCTGACGGCTATCGGATGATGTGGTTACCACCTTAGCAGACCATGACTATTTATTGACTAAAAATATGAAGTTTTATTTTTATTGTAAATTGTGCCAAAAGCAAAATTAGTTGCAATGCAAAAATTTGTATCATTTTTGTAATGTTTTCAAAAAAATTTAAGATGTTGGTCAAACCTGCAGTTTACAGATAATGCGCCTCATTCAACAGAAGCGCTATAAAATAAATTCTACATACTCCCTAATGCAATTAGGAGAACGGCATACGGGGTCAGTAAGAGTGCCCAAAGCAGCTTGTTTATTTAACATGATCATAAAAAACTTATCTCCCTTTGTCATTTTTATGGTTAACGGAAAATAGCAAGAAAGCTTCAAGCAGGGTTCGGAAAACCCAGAGGTTTTTGTAGAAAAACCCAACCCCGTGGGTTTTTCCGGGGTTTTTGGGGTTTTTGTGGGTTTTTGTGGGTTTTTGTAGATTATGGGGCAGGTTAAACCAGAATTCTTAAAATTATTTATTGGAGAAAACTAATTTAATATAAAATTTGAACATGCAATTTTAACCGTTATCATTGATTTGGACTGTTACATCGAAAATTCATGTTTGAAATGTAAACCTGGAAATATGAAGTGGTATTTAGAAATTCAAGTGGTAAATGAAAATTGTCAAAATTTCAAGATGAAGCAGAAAAGTTAATTAGCATTGATCTACGTTGTAGTTAAAGGTTTGTTTCAATCTGCCTCAAAATCCTACAAAAACCCCGGAAAAATCCCCAAAAACCCGCAAAAACCCCATTAAGCATTAGGGTTTTTCCGGAGATTTGATACCCCAAAAACCCCAAAAACCCCAACCCACAAAAACCCGGGGTAGCGAACCCTGCACATATGCTTAGAGATGCGTGCATAAAATCTTCAACGTTGTTGCTTTTTATCCGGAGTAGGAAAGGGTTCTCTGGCCAGAGCTATAAAATTAAAGAGTGACTCTCTTTAGAATTTGACACCTTGGACACATTTTGATGAACGCTTCGTTGATATAGTCGCATTCTCATCCTCACTCAGGAGGGGAGCTTGCGAGGTTGATAATAACAGATCTTGATGCCCTTTGGATATGTAGTAGGGACCAATGAGTGTACTAAAACCCTGAAGTGGTTTGACTCCATGGCCACATTTGCGCCCGCCACACCCACTCAAAAATGCCCAAAAAACGCTTTTACTCCAGTTTTCACAACAGGATATTTTCAAGGCAATGTCACAAGGGTCCAGGTTTCTAGGGAGCAAAATGTGACTAAACTTAATTGACAAGTAGGAAATGA